TAACCAACAACGTCAACCTAAACAGCTTTTTTCCACTATCAATCGCCTACTTGGCCCACTTGACCCTCCTCAACCATCTGATGCTGCTGGCTTATGCTCCAGATTCCTGGATTATTTCCAGAAAAAGGTAGAAACCATCCACCAGCAACTGCAGCTGTCCAGCTCCTCTCACCCAACCACACCACCGCTGCTTGACACAAACTCTCTAACTGTCTCCACACCACAAGACTGCCTCTCCTCTTTCTCCCCGCTCAAAACAGCTCAAGTTATTGAGCTAGTGTCAAAAGCAAAGGCAACGACCAGCAAACAGGATCCAATGCCGACTGCCTTGGTCAAGGCATGTCTTCCAACTCTGGGACCCATACTGGTCAACATCATCAACACCTCTCTGTCTTCTGGGGTGGTCCCCACCAGCTTTAAAACTGCTGCGGTGATCCCTACACTTAAAAAACCAGGCCTGAACCAAGATGACCCAAACCACTACCGCCCAATCTCCAACTTACCCTTCATATGCAAGTTATTGGAAAGAGCTGTGGCTTCCCAACTCAACCATCATATGCTACAGCACAACCTCTACGAGCCATTTCAATCTGGTTTCAGAACACATCATAGCACAGAAACTGCCCTCATTAAAATCACAAATGACCTTCTCATGGCAGCTGACTCTGGCCATGTCAGCATCTTAATTCTTCTAGACCTCTCTGCAGCCTTCGATACAGTCTCTCATCACATTCTTCTCACTCGACTCTCCAAACTTATTGGCCTTACTGGTACTGTGTATTCCTGGTTTAAATCCTATCTCACCAACAGGCAACAATACACCACCCTTAAGGGCATTTGCTCTGAAACTGCGCCAGTCTTACACGGTGTGCCACAAGGATCGGTGCTTGGCCCACTGCTGTTTAATATCTACATGCTACCTCTTGGGATGATCATCCGGAAACATGGATTACACTTCCACTGCTACGCTGACGACACCTAGCTCTACATCAGTACTAAGCCTTCTACTCCACTTCCACCAGTGCCACTTATCAACTGCCTGAAGGACATAAAGAACTGGCTGGACAGCAACCTTCTAAAACTCAACAAAGACAAAACAGAACTTATGGTGTTTGCCCCGCTGTCACTTCTTAAAAATGTTGATGACATTATACTGGATGTGGATGGCTGCTCAATCTCTGCATCTCCTCAAGTACGCAACCTTGGCGTCATCATGGACTCCACTCTCTCCTTCCAACAACACATCAAAAACACCATTAAAACTGCTTTTTACCATCTTAAGAACATCTCCAGACTTCGACAGTGTCTCTCCAACTCTGTAGCCGAGACCCTCATTCACTCCATCACCTCCAGACTTGATTACTGTAACGGTATCCTGTTCGGTCTGCCTAGCAAGGCTACTGACAGACTCCAGTATGTACAGAACTCTGCGGCTAGGATGCTCACTCACACAAAGCTTGGACTTCACATCACTCCCATCCTGAAGAAGCTTCACTGGCTGCCAGTTAAGTCTCGGATCAAATATAAAATCCTCCGTCTGACGTACAAATCTCTCCATGGACTTGCACCTCAGTACCTTATTGATGTACTCCATCCCTACACTCAGCAACGGTCCCTGCGGTCCTCTGACAAGGACCTGCTCGCTGTCCCTAAGTCCAGGCTCCGGACATTTGGTGATAGAGCTTTCTGTGTTGGTGCTCCATCACTCTGGAACAAGCTTCCTCATGCCATCCGCTCTGCTCCCTCTCTAGTGACCTTTAAAAACCAGCTTAAAACACACCTCTTCACTGAGGCTTATGGGCTTTAGCTCTCCTGGCCTCTCACCTTTCTCCTAGTATCCCTCCCTTCTCCCCCCTCTTGCTTTTGTTAAGCGTCCTTGGGTTTTATGAAAGGCGCTATATAAATTAAAGTTATTATTATTATTATTACTCAGTCTTCTGAGTCTGGTCAGACGGTCATAGGCCTCTCGTGAGGCCTCCCAGTTAGATCAGTCCTTAGGTCTTTTCAGGCCTTCTCAGTGCTTTGAAACACAAGCGCTGGGTAGATCTGTGGATCGAGCAGAGAAACTCCCCTCGCTGGCAAGGGTTGTAAGCGTTATGCTGAGTCATGCTCTCCTGGATACCCCGTCTCTGAGATCCGAGCTGAGTGGTTCACTGTCAGCTTCGCAGTCCCTCGGGTTGGATGCCTTATCTAAAGGCAAGTTTCCAGAGGCTCTGTCTTCGGACAGACAGGAATTTGGTCAGACTGAAATGTCCAATGTAAGTGACGCCAGGTCAGGCCTTCCTGGTGGCAATTCGAGTGAGTATGTTCCCCTGAATAGTGATTGGCCTTCGGGTTCCCTAGCCACATTCCCTAGAAGGGACACCTTCTAATTTGAAGTTGTGGTCCTAGGGCCTTGAGCAGGCCCAGGTAGGCCTTTCATTAAACAGGGTTTATGACCATAGGGAACGCTGTCACTGACACCCCAGTGTGACCTGAGGGTGAGTCTTTCTGGCATTTCATTTGAATTTGCTGGTTCTGAGAGTTGTCACTGCCAATGGGCATGCACTCCCCTTAGCATGGTGGTGTGGGTATATCGTTCCCTAAAGTGTCATTCGACGGGAACGTCTCAGGTTACGACTGTAACCTCTGTTCCCTGAGAACAGGGAATGAGACACTGCGTCTTTCGCCATGCCTCGGGGCTTGCCTACCAAATAGTCCCTTCAGACGAAAAGGTGATTATCATGCTTGCAAGGCGCCCTTATATACTTCCAGGTCGCACGTTAATGATTCATGGGCTCTTGCTGGTCAAGTCAAGTCACCTTTATTTATATAGCGCTTTTTACAATACAGATTGTATCAAAGCGCTTCACAGTGATAACATGAAAACAATATAACAAAGTTTGTTTCTAAAAGAAATTGCGTCAACGTCCACCTTAAGTAAGGCAATAGGATTGCCGTGATTTGATTGTAATCTCAGACACCCGTCACTACTGAGGCGTTCCCCAAAGCATCATTCGACGCAGTGTCTCGTTCCCTGCTCTCAGAGAACAGAGGTTACAGTCGTAACCTGAGGCCATCCTTAAAAATATTCTTGTTTGCCGTAACCCGACCGACCCTGTCAAATTAGGACCGACCCAATTATTTATTTATTTTCCCTTTTAGTCCGACCGACTTGCCGGTTGTAAACTTGCATTAAGACCGACCGATTTTTTTTTTACTCTTCAAACAACTAATACAAATGCAATAAAATAATATAAATTTATTATAGTAAGTATTGTGAATATAAATTGCGTAGGCTATGTTCTTTCTTTTAAATAAAACCCCGTGGCGTCATCTATGATGATTATGTTTACACCATTGGTTTACGCATGTCACACTATGGTCTGTGCGTTCGCTTCGTTTCATTCACGGTCAATGGTTCGCGCTCGGTGATGATGGCTGCGGCGCGGCTGCTTGTGAAATACGTCTGTATGAGCCTACATTTAGTCGCTCATTATTCGAAATTCTTAATGGTCAAATAGGAGAATAGGGGAATCGATGTTAACGGCCTTTTCTCGGAGCGCGTCCAGCTCGTCATGATATGCCCACCGCAAACGCGCGTCACACAGCAACTGCAGGCTCTGACAAACAAACACACATAAGTGTGGGAAGCCAAACACACCGAAAGGGGGACGAAACGGCGCGGTGTGTTACAGAGTTCGCGCTGCGCTGACTTGTAATCTGCGTGGCTCAATGGACCGAGACGCGCGAGCGCGACAGACTCGACAGCGCAGGAGAAGTGTTTGCTTGCGCCAGCCAATGGTCAGAGCGGCGCGAACTAATCTCACCAGCGCCGCGCTGACCAATAAAACAGCACATCCCATACCGAAATGTACTAAATTGCACAAAAGAAAATCGACCATTCCATAATATGTCAGGACTACTTAATCGGCCTATAGTTTCCTACAATGCGCCTAGCCATTTGACCTCACTGATTTCCGGTAATAATAGCAGATGTTTATGGGTCAAATCTCTCACTCTCTCCCTGCAACTTTTTGTTATCCTCCTTTCCTGCCCCTAGACCAGAAAGGGGGCTTGTAACAGTATGGGTCAAATGTAAACGAATGGTGCCAAACGCGCTGTTTTATTGGTCGGCGCGGCGCTGGTGAGATTAGTCATTTTAATTTATTTGTTTCCCTCTGAAAATCCACTTTCATTGAAATCTAGTGGCTCCTTTTTTTTCTTTTATTTTTTTATTCTGCCTATTTTTTTTTCCAAACCAATGCAGCTGGAATGAATGCAATAAATATGTTTTTTTTTTACAAAGATTTCAAATTGTTTGTGGTCTATAACCTGTATCAGAATGAGGTTCGCAATGGTGCGCCCGAAGGCATGGGTTGAAGACCCAGTCAGTGACGTCACCATATGCAAATTTGTTTAAATTCATACCGACGTAATCACCATGACCAAAATTATCCTTTTTTTTTTTACATTGAATCTTGAAAAAAAAAATATAGACCTACCTACCGACCCTTTTTTTTTTTTTTTTTGCTGTTACTGCAAACCAAAATATTTTTAAGGATGGCCTGAGACGGTTTTTTTTAATCATACTGACTTTTGAACAGTAGTGTATAATGATTTTAATGTAAAAACTAAAAACAATTTAAAATAATCTAAATGTAAAAATATATATATTGGATGATTCATCAATACACATTTTAAAACCGTTTTAAAATTTACTTTTGGCTGTTATATAAAAGCCAGTGCAAGTGAAGTAAAATATTACCCACTAATACCAAAGCCCAATTTTTACAATCCATTAAAATCCTAATGGCTATAATGAATTCCCTCCATAAATTATTTAGCACGGAATAATAAGTTTTACTCGTAAATATGTCACATTACACTAGTTAAATGAGATATGAATGTTGTTTCATGTTATCTTCAACATAAATATCAACACTAAAAGACACCTGTTGAACAAAGTAATTATTATAAATGTGGTTTCTCATTATACTATCTGATTGGCATTTTATTACCTGTAGTTGTTTGATATGTTGCAGTTGGAGGCGGAGCTCAGAGACATTCCTTCTGAACAGGTGAAAGTTAACATGCAAGGGTGCGGGGCCTAGTGGTGGTGTAGGGGCGGGGCTACGCTCAAGAGGTGCTGCAGCAACTTTTGGTGCTAATACTGGAGAACCTCCTAAACAAAACATAAAAACACACAAAAACAAAAACATGACATATGTAATATTTCATGGCCTGTGTGGTGAAAAGGTGCCAAAGTCTGTGCTCTCAAACTTATGTCTGGGTCAGTTACGCAGATAGGTTGCTGGAAATATTGTTACAATCCAAGTTTTATAGATTGTAAACATTTAGAAATGGAGTTTAATATTTAATCAATTTGAGTATCTAAACAAATGTATATTCACATATATTGGCCCTATAAGGATATGTGATATTTGTTGTTGTACCCACATTTGACTTGGCAAGATTACATTTCAAACTCGACTGAGCACAACTGATAAACAAAATACAGCAATTCAGGTCAGTTATTGCTAAAGTACATTATTTATGTGCGTGCACAAGACAGCTTGTAGACATGTTTGTTCTTTTGCGGCTTATGCTGTCTGAGGGACTCGTTCCCGTCAGTGTGTATGTGTGGAAAGAGTGGGAGAACTTGTGGCAGGCAGCATTTCTGAGTGACAGATGAATGGAAGAGGTAGGATTGTTGGGATGCTCTCACAGCCACTGCATTACAATCTGCTGCGGTGAGAGCCAACATACACACACACAAACAAACAGATGGGGTCTGGGGGTCCGGGAGGGACGAAAGGAAGGAAATTACCTGTGCTAGATGTGCTGTGAGCCGGTGACCCAGACTTTACTGGTTTCTCGCTGGAAAAATTTAAAAGATATCAAATGACTGAAGGTACATATGCACACATACTGTATACACACACACACACACACAGATAAAATCACTCAACAAAACGCTTGAAGTTAGTCTTTGTTACAGTGGCACAGGCATTGCCATTCATTCTGATATCGGCTACAGTGAGGATGAGTAGTCAATTTAGTTCATGCACAGTTAGTAAGTCATCTTACCCACCAAGTCTGACCTAGTGTCTGATTACCACCACCACCATTAATCCATTATAGCCCTCCTAATATCTTTTCCTATTTAATTTGGGAAACGTTGTGATTTTCTGGGAACTACATTACCCAGCCTGCCCTGCTTACCTGGGGTGTTCCTGGTTGCTGTCAGTGCTGTGGCTCTTTAAGAGAGCGTGCTGCACAAGACCAGTCAGACTGGCTATTTGCTCCTCCATGGCCTTCATTCTCTCTCTGTAGAGAGATAGAGCATATCGCACTCTTACTACTGATGGGGTTTGTGTGGGGGGCGGACGAGGGGAAAGCATATTGAAATAACAGTGGGACTATATACCTCATGAGATGGCTCAGTTATCAAAGGCCTTTTTACTCTAATTCCTCATTAATAAAAAGACAGTTCTGTTCAGCACAACTGTTTTCAACATTGATAATAATAAGAAATGTTTCTTGAGCATCAAATCAGCAAAGGATCGTGTGACAGTGGAAATTCAGCGTAGGCATCACAGGAATAAACTATGTTTCACAATTTATTAAGACCGAAACAGTTATCTTAAAGTGTAATAATTCATAACATTACTGTTTTACTGCATTTTTGATCAAATGAATGCAGCCTTAGTGCAAGTAAGAGACTTTAAAAATGTATTTAAAAATCTAACCGACCCCAAAATTTGATGGTAGTTTAATGGTAACACTTTAATGGTAGAGTATGCTGCCATTCAGAACATGGGAATCTTATGTGAAATTGCACAGATAAAACAACTTGAAGTAAAAACATACACTCTTGGAAATCTATTCACCACATTTAAATTACAAATCACTTCCTTAAACGATTCAAGGTCAATGTTAACTGCAAAAAGAATTAAGCGAAAGAGAGTATGATCTGGACTCCTGCCTGTGATCTTTGTCGCATGTACAAAAAAACAGTACATCACAATCATTAACTTGTCACACCAAATGATTAAATAACTAAAGCATTAAAAAAAAGAGATAAATTAAACTACAATTCTCATAGGACCCATTTGCCATTTCTGTGCCAATGCACACACTGTTCAAACCACTATTTCTTTGCTCTGCAAGATAATGTTAGAAAAGTCTGGCCTGCATGTGCTCTGCTCTGTAAAAACAGTTTAGCATGTTGACTCTGTGTATTGACTGTTCTCTGCTAGCAAGTACATCGCCAAGCACAATAAATCTGACTTACAAGGCACATACAAGCATAAAGGATACGATTAAGTCCACTTAACCAACACAGTAAAACAAAGCTGACTGAACTACAGTTCAAAGCCTTTTTGTGAGTTACCTAAGGCTATATACTTGAAAACAAACCCAGCTAAATGATTTATGTGAACATAATAACGGCTGCTAGTATTTAGATGAGACGTTGTCGATGTGTTTTTGGATGCAGTTAGGGAATGACATGATGCAGTGGAAGACAACATACTGATGCAGAGTTAGAATATGAACATGGATGCTAATGTTTCCTGTTAGTTATTTCCATGCTCAGATATCCCTGTTCGCTCTTAAACATTGACTCACCGTGTCTGAGGATCTGTCGGGGGGGTCAGCGGATTGTGAACCTGAAGATCCGGGGTGGCCGGGGACCCCATGCCACCCCTCGTCTTTACCATGGGATCCATTGTAATAGGAGACTCCTTCCTAAATGATTGTCTGACAGGAGAGGCCCTCTCCATAGTCATGGAGCTCTGTGGTTGGGTTGTGTGAATTTCCATCATTCGCATCTCGCCCATCCGGTGCGGGGAAGAGGGTGGGGTTTTGGAGCCGAGCATAGGAAGCTGGCTATCCGTGTACTTCCTACTTTTCTGTCGGAAGAGTGAATGATGGTCCGGGGGCTCCATAGGAACACCGGGGTTACTGTAAGAGCGCATGGTGGCACGGTGGTAGGCATGGTCTACTGCATCAGGGGGCAGGACCTGGTGATGTAACATATAAGGGTCAGCGTAATGACTTTCGGCTCGGGCGGGCAGCGACATGCTCTTCGCATGCTCTACGTCCTCGTCTGGTTTTACGTCCCGCCGCTCAAGGATGGCGCTCGGGCAGGGGGAGGATGCGCGGGCGGGTGCGGGGAGTGTGTGTCCGGCTCGCTCACGTGGCATTGTGGCAACCCCACCACCAGAGACACGTGGGCCGAAGGGAATACGAGACGGGGAGGGGGGCATCGCATGAGGTGTGGTTGGGGACATGGAGCCCTGCATGTGGGGTGGAGGAGGACCCATCGGGGGCTGCCGGAGAGGATGACCATCCCGTCCACCATACATCATCTCCCTGTGAACCTGAACGAGAGAGAGGACATAAGATTTCACATTAAAGGAGAGTAAAACATTTCAAATCCTGCTAAAATAAAACCGCTTAGTTTGGTCATTCAGCCAGCTTAGGCTGTTTTTTTTTCAGCAGGGAAAGTAAGAGATATGTTCAAATTACACATAATGTATATGTAATATGTAATATGAACACAAAAGGTCCATTGTATTCAATAACATGGCTTATGCAGCTAAAATAAATAAAAATAATTATAAACAATTATAAACTTAAGAACCTTAAAAAATACCAGCTGAAATCACATGCAAATGATATTTCTGACCATATTTCTACATTTAAAACCATAAATCATATGTAATAGAGGTGAATAGGGACAATTAGAGAATAAAACTACACTAAAGTACACTTACATGGTTCTAAATCAGTGTTAGCCCTAAAATAACACAGTTATTTTAGTATTAACATTATTTATATACTATTATAGTATTGTTTTAATGTTTTGAGTTAGTTTTTATTTTTATATTATCAACTTGTTATTTTAATTTTAGTTTGTCTTATTTGTTTGTGTTTTTGGGGGTCTATTTAGCTTTCATTTATTTTATTTCGGTTTTAGTTTCAGTAAGTTTAGTACTTCAACTTAGTTAGTTGACAGGGCAACGTTTCTTATTTTCGTAAAAATGATGGTCCATGTGATCTTTATTGTTCCAGTTTAGTCTAAAAGGCTTTTCTGTTCAGCCATCTCAGTGAGAAAGGAGTGTTACATTTCCATCTCACATGTGAAATGAAAAGGGTTGAGAGAAGTCAAAGAAAGAAAGACTGAGAGACCATGGTATTCATGGTTTAAAAAAAAAAACGTTCACACATCCCACAATGTAATTAACAGGCATACGTGGATATAGTATCGCATTAAACAGGTGCATCCATAGAACAATGCAACTGGTTTACCACAATCTACTGTAAGCAGAAGATGGATTGATAAAGCACTGATAAACTGCCATTTCATTCATAAACAATTAGTGAACGTAACTGATGGAGACAGGAAAAATAAAACATGATTAAGACTGCAACAAAGTAAGAGAAAAAAGTATGACCTGAGCAGATAAAAGATTTCCAATCAGCTTCAGAATGCAGAACTTCACGCCTGAGGATACTAGACAGACAAACTCCTATGTATCTGTCTCCAAACTCAGCAATGAGGAGCAACAGGAAAAACCATATGACTTGACAGATGAAAAGAATTCAGACAAAAACTGGTTCAGAGTGAAACTAGATGTTTTCCTTTTTCGGTGCGTAAAAATGACAGAAACAAAAAAGTAATTCAGACCTTTTCATCACCTCAGGCCCAATTTCATTTAGCACCAAACCTGTTTTTATTTTTTTATTTGTTCATCAGTAACTCATTTAAAGCAAACGTCCCAAATCAAATCAGGTTCCATTTAATTAGGATGCCACATTAGAAGGCAGCTGCTTATGAGGGCAAAAGATAGCAAAGCAGTTATTACAGAGTTATTGTCTGACTATATCTGCCTCATCCAAAAATAGAAAACAAACAAAGTGGAAATACTATATACAAAAGAAAGAGACAAGAATGTTCTTTTAAGCCAAAGAGATTTGTAAAATAATAGAAAGACAACAAAATGAGGTTTCTTTGCTCGAAGCATCGCCCTGTCTCTCTGTATCTGAAACAATGAGCGCTTTGTGCAGGGGTGAGTCAGCGCTCAGGCTACACCCAGAACAGGTGACACTTCCAAGTCTTTATCTGCTTCAGGACAACAGCATGCTTTTCTGCAACATCATATGACCATGCTGGTGAATCTTATAAATAAATATGCATTTCACCTGCTTTACCGCTTTACACATACAGACAATATATATATATATATAGGGGGGATGGGAATCACATTACGAAATAAATGTTTTTCTCCAAAAAATGTTGGCCACAATTATTGGCAACCCTAGAATTTTTTATGAGTAAAATATCACTGAAGTATATCCCCATTAATATATATATATTTAGCATACCAGGGTGACAAGGAACAATACATTTTCTAGCTATGACTTCTTGATTAACAGGAGTATAAATATGAGGAAACAACATAAACATTAAAGCTTATTTTCCACCAAAGGTGCTTGTTCACATGCCCAGTATTTCTTGTCATAGAATAGACAGAATGCTATTCTTTTGAACTTTTTATTTATAAAAGAATTATTTTTTTAAACAGAAAAATTATTGACAGTAATGTCTTTACTGTAATTTCTTTATCACTTTTGATCATCCTTGCTGAATTCATTTAAAAAAAAACGTACTGACCCTAAACTTAAATTTGAAATTTAAACTAAAATTTAAATTAAAAATAAAAAAAAACAAAAACAAAAACACACACACACACACACACACACACACACACACACACACACACACACACACACACACACACACACACACACACACACACACACACACACACACACACACACACACACACACACACACACACACACACACACACACACACACACACACACACACACACACACACACACACACACACACACACACACACACACACACACACACACACACGTTATAGAGAGCAGGTTATGCATTTTTACTTGGAGTTTGATACCCTGGGAGGCATAACAATCATCTCCAGATGTTACCTGAGCAACACTGTCTGAATAACATGAAAGTTCTTGCCTGTCTCAACATCTCCGGGTTCTCATCTTTTCATTTTCTCTGGATTACCTTAAAAGGTAGAGAATTTTGCTGTAGGAAGGTTGACATGAAACATTAAACCTGTGATAAATAAAGAAATCAAAAGATGATGGAATGAGAACATTTGGTTTGAGTTTGGCCCAAGAGGGATTAAAGACATATTCTGATGCCCCCTTTTCCACTCATTTTCTGCTCCTCTTTCTTTTTTAGATAAAATGTCACAAGGCCTTGCTGAAATCCTATGAACAGAAAGTGTAGGCAAAAGACACCATTACTCTCACAGATCCCGTGCTATGATACATTTTTGATTTCTTGCAGAGAGCTGCATTGCTTTTTATGGGTCTGTTTCAAATTAACGGTCATCTGTAAACTGTGGTCAGTCACGTTGCACAATAATCTGCTTTCTGTTTTAACAGACTGGTATGCGGTTGAATACGTGTGAGCTCAGATGTGTGTGTGCGTGGGTAGTACGGATACACAGTTTCTAACTGTATCTGTACACTTAAAAATGCTGGGTTGTTTCAACCTAAAGTATGTTTGGGTCAAATATGGACAAACCCAACTGTTGGTTTAATTTTTTTTTTATTAAATTAGCAATTAAATTAACTGCTACACAGAAACAGCCGGAGTGTCTAACGATAGCCACCAGAGGGCACTCCGCCCTAGTCCTTTGCCATTCCATCATGAACTACATTTCCCATAAACCTTTGCCTGGACTCATTATTGTGTGATTACATCCAGCTGTGTGTCATTAGCTTGTTATGTCTGTGTATATAAGCCCTGTGTTTCCTCTCACTCTTCCTCTCGTGAAGTCTTGTAAGTGTCACACTGCATTTCTAAGTGCTCACCCTCCGGTTACCCATGTTTTTGGTTTTGACTTTGCCTGGTTTCCTGGATTTTCCTGTCTGGCTGTGTTTTTTCTGCCCTGTTGTGTTTTTGGATTATCTGAACTGTGTTTTGACCTATTGCTAGTGGTGGGCAGATCGAGGCTTCGTGGACCACTGAAACAGTTGAAGCAAATGTGCCGTATTTTGTCGAAGCCGACATCGGCTTCACGGTGATCCCTAGTGGTCAGAACAGTGTAAATGCAACAAAAACCCAGGCCAAACATGCATAAAAACAAATCTATTTACATATCTATTCCAATTAAAAAAAAAAAAAAAAAATCTTCCAAATGCAATTATCTAATCATCTAATACGATTATCAAGTGTCTGTTCTTTTATCAATTGTCAGGGTTTGTTCTATGAATGGTTCAGCTAACAGGCCAATAAGAGACTATCATTATTCATCTTAATTATACTAATGTCTAATTAAAACATTTACATAAAACCAACAGACAGTTGTTCATTGGTTCTCAGTGACTCCTCATGATTCATCGCACAGAGATCATCGCACCTAGCGGTGAACCATTGAAATTTCGAAACATTTATGACTGATTGAAGCCTTGTTTACTGAAATCACATGACTCTGGCAGTTTGATACACGCTCCGAACCATTGATTCGGAACAAAAGATATGTAAAGGTTTCGAAGCTTCATGAAGCAGTGTTTTGAAATTGCCATCACTACCTATTGCCTGTTTTATGGATTACGATTCTGGGTTGCCCCAATAAAAGCTGCGTTTGAATCTTCATCCAAGTCTCTGGGCACTTTGTGACACATATGTTTAATGGCGCCGGAGGAGGTGCGTCAGGCGGAAACGCCAGGTACCATCTCACCTGTGTTATAAATTAAACATCCTGGATCCCTTTACCAAATTTCTATATTTCAAAAGGAACTGTGTCATTTCTTATCGCTGAAATTAATGAAGAAGAATGCCTTAAATATCTGTAATTTAATAGATTAATTTAGACTTGCAGAAAATCTCTAGTTGCCTAGTTTTCTCCCTTTTCCTTGTATTTATTTTATGTTTTATTTATTTTCTTTGTCTTGATTTATTATGCTTGACTGTTGTCTGGCTAGGAAATATCCAATATTGTGCCAGGCCAATTATGCTTGCAACTGCACTCTTAAAGGGATACTCCACCGTTTTTTCATATTAAACTATGTTATTCCCTTAACTCAGACGAGTTGATACATACCTCTCTCGTCTCAGTGCGTGCACTCAATCGCTCTGGCGGACGAGACACTTTGATAGCACTTAGCTTAGCCCAGTTCATTCATTAGGATCCAAGCGGAGAAGCGACCAAACACCTCCACGTTTTCCCTATTTAAATACAGTTACACGAGTAGTGTAACTCGACCAAGAATGGTGACACAAAATAAAACGTTGCGCTTTTCTAAGCGTGTAAAGTGGGTA